AATTAAAATAAAACAGTCTGAAACTTTCATGAACTCTATTCCTTTAATTCCGACTTCTTGAGCAACGTGTCTGACTCCACAATTGTGATTTAGACCTGAAGACTCCAGACACATTGGAAGCATACAAATGCCTCCGCTCCACTTGTTTCCATTCACGTTTATACGTGTGCGCGTGCTGGAGCGGCGAGAAAGAAGTATAAAAGAAAAGTTCGACCGTTCTTTTCTCTAAACTTCACGTCGCCGCAGCACATATTGATCGGCGGCCGCGGTAATTGCTGATTTATTGATATTCAACGCGAAAACCGAGCCGCACACAAAGCCACTCGGCCGTTGCGAGGTCGCCGTTGATTGCCTTCTAATCGCCTTGGACGGTTAAGTAAACGAATCCGCTGACACACCATAAGAGCTGTTCCGCTCCACGATCACAACGAAAGGGTGAAGATGATACAATTTTCACATATCCTTATTAATTTACAGGCTAACTTTATTTTCACTTTTGAAATTAGGAATAATCCAAAAAAATTAAATCGTCTTTTGGCCACGTTGCTGAACTTAGGGTGAATAAATTCTGGTGTGTTTTTCGCTGGATGATGCCGTTCCAATTAACTGCATTTAAGAAATTCCGGTCGAACCAGGATCGGGCCAGGAATCGAAAATAGAACACGCGCTGCCCCGTTTAATTGAAATTCCAGGTCGTATCTCTCGATCGTCTCATTAATCCAGCGTCTCTCATCAACGATAAATCTGCGGCCCGATAGACAGTATAAAAAGGAAAAACTCGAAGTAGCAGTTTAATAAATATGCCAGAGAGATTTTCTCATTATCGCTCGCTGGGAGCCGCTTTGCGAGGGTGGCGTGAGAGTTGCCAAGCTCGAGTTCGTTTCCTTGCTAATGGGCACTCACGCTCTCTCGCTCGCAGTTATCTCGCGTTAAATGCAGATTGAACTCACTCGGTCGGCTTTCGGAAACACACATACGGAGTTCGATGCAAATGGATTTCTAACTCTGTTTTTGCGTCACGCGAGACGGCTGCTTTCCCAACAAACACACACACACAAGCAAACAAACAAATAAAGTTCAGGTAAAAATTGCGGCCAAACAACTTTCAACGTCAGCCTAGAGCAACAATGCAATAAATAAATGTTTTGAATATTCAACAATTTGAAAGGCAATCAAACCATTGAGTACAATTATATTATATTTTTTATGTTATTCTCTCTTAATGAAATTTATTTTTTTAATTTATGGATGATTTATTTGGGCAGGGAATGCCCGGTCAATGAACGTAACTTGAAACTATATTTTAACAATAAAGGCGAATATTTATGGTTTATGGTCAAACTTTATGTAGAAATTCACCAAAAGAAGAAACATAATTGCGAATATTCTAATTTTAAGCTGACATGAAAAAAACTAAATTGAATAGTTTTAGGAAATAAAATTATTTACGCACTTGATGATAAACCATAAAGATTTAAAACTGTGCTTTTCTTAAGGCATCTATTTATTGTTCCTTAGATGGTTTGTACGTTTGTACATCCTCAGTTCAAAAAAACTCATTTTGCTCAACTTAAAAGAAAAATATACTTTAATCAAATCAGAAATTGTGACGATTATGCAAATTATTACGAATAAAAAAATGTATGGAACAACTTTGAGCGAAAACAATCGTACAAGTTTCTCTATCCCTTTCATCCCATTTAAAGAAAACACGGTTCTGCTCTTGGATTTGTCTCGGAATGGAATGACGCAAAAGCCAAACTTATCCAATTTGTTGTTTCTCCGTCATTGCGCGTCGTCTCTGCTGCTAAAATCTGCGCAAGCCGAAATAAATCCGCACTGTTTCGCAACGCTTTATTTTTTTCTGCTTTTATTTTTGTTCTCCGCAGCAGACGCACTCTTCAAAATGAAAGATCCCTTTCTCTCTCCCTCTTTATTCTCTTCTGCGCCGCGTCGACGACACTAAAACAGTCGTTTTTTTCGCCGTGTGCTATTTTTGCTCCGCCACACCCTCTCGTGTATGTGTGCAAATCTTGAATCTGGCGCGCGTTTAACTCGCCCCTTTGTCCACGCGTTCCCATAGAGAGGTCGAATGCCTTCATTGTACATACGCGCTTTGTGCCGCCGTCTCCTTCAGACCGCCCACGCAACCCGCCGACTGACCTTTCCAGCCGCCGAGTGACACAATAATCAGGGGCTGCTGCTGCGTTTATAATAAACTTGCCTTTCTCTTATGATTGTTGACCCCCCTCTCAGGGATTTTACTGCAGTATAAAAATGAGCTTCGGAATCGTCACCAGCCAAGATTAAAATGTAATGTCTGGATCAGGATTATGTTTTATAAACAGAATAAACAGGTGGTTGAAGTTAAGTCCAAACTCATTCTGCACCGTCAGCAAAATGGAACAAAACATTTTTTCAATGTTTTTCAGAATAATATTATATAATTATATTCATATTGCATGGATTTTATACATATTTTTAATTGTAAGCTTTATAAAAATAATTTGCAAACTGCTGTTGTGAAAAAATAATTTTAATTACTTGAATTTTGTTTATTAAATTTGATAATAGATTAAATTAAAAAGGATAATTTTATACGAATAAACTTGTCCCCTAACAAACGTGTTTTATTAATTTGATAATTTCTTTCTAGTTTGAATCGCTTTTTACATCTTTCCTGTAAATCTTTTTAACCATTTTCGGGATATACAAAATAGCACAATTGAAATTTTTCTAAAAAAAAGGCCTGCTGTATATTTAAACATTCAAAGAAAGACCAGACTTTTACATTTATGAAGAAAAATTCTCACATTTTCTAGAGGCAGGAACAAAATAAATGGTCAAAAGTGTGTCCCTGCGTCGTAAAAAATGCAGGCGTCACCCAGTAATTTTATTTATGGACGTAATTTAGTTACAAATAAAAAAGCGTCGGCGCAAATTCGCCATCAGCTCGGAGAATGAAGTGCGAAATAGATTCTCGGGGGCGAAAAGATACTCGAATTTTATTGCGCGCGCGTGTGTGTGTTTGTACGTTATATGCTCGCACACACAGCACGCAGTAGTCAAGAAAAATGTCTCTGCGGGGCCGGAGCATTATTTGCTTCCTTCCTGCTACACGCTCTTGCTCGGCCCTTTCGCCCTTGCTCGGAGAGTGAGCGAAAAATAAAAACGACATCCAGTGTTCGGGCCAATTTCTCTCCGACAATCCCTCTTTATTGAATGCGCGTGCAGCAGCTGAGCGAGAAAAAGAGGAGCTTTTTTCCTCGAGAAAGGGTCGCTGCTCCCTCGCGACGGCAAATGGAACAATTCTTCGGTTTTAGGACGCCCGTTTCGGCTCTATTTGCGAGGATTTCTGCCGAATGCCTGGGAATTCGGACAGCAGCACCGGGGAATTGAATGTGAGAAGAATCTGCTGGCGTGTGTCCGATCCGAAAGACTGTGGGATATAAGAATGGATATCAGAATAATCACAAGAATATTGAACAAATCCAAAAGGAAGAAAAATTTTTATTTCCAAGAGAGATATTTAACAATAATTAAAAAAGAAGCAGTAAAAATGTTGATATTGTTATTTATGATAAATTATTCTTAAGCAGCAAAATAAAATAAAAATAATAAAAAAAAACTTTAAAAAATAAATGAAAAATACATAAATACATGATCTTTAGAAATATTAGAGAATATGAAAATGATCTGAAAATAATTACTAAAAGTTTTATTAGCAATGAGAAATTATTGGTTTTAATTATTATGATAATCTTGGATAACTGATTTTTTTTAAACTATATGTTGGAATTTCATTGGAGTTTCTGAATAAATAAATTTTAATTCTTAAAATTTACCTCCCTAAAATTTGAATTCTAGTGTCATGTCTTAAAATTAATTTCAATTTATTGCACAGTCAATTGAACCAATAATCTTCAATATAATTGAGCAGTTTGCTTCTTTTTATGTTATAAAGAAAACGGGGATCCGAGAGCTTGCCAAAAACTGCTCTCTCGCCGCAACAATTCGCACTTAATCGTGGAAAAGCTGACGACTTATTGTCCGTGAAGGAAACAAGAAGCGGCCCACTTTTGCTGCAAGGTGTGCAAAGAGACGCAAAAAAGAGAGAAACAAAGCCGGGGCAGATGCGCGCGATGGCAATTAAGATAAGAGCAGCCATTTTTGCCGGGCGAGCGTGCGAGAGCGAGATTGGCGCGCGACAGCATCTGGCGCAGACATCTCACGGCCTCTGGCCATTTACCCGGCCGGTCCGATTTCGTACATATTGTGTGCGAAGGCGTATCGCACACATACACAGCGTCTTTATTATGCTTGTAACAAGGGCTTAAATCCAGCGCTACAGCGTCGCAAAATAATCCGCCTTGCTTCTTGCGGCAAATGATACACAGTCGTTTCCCTCTTTTTGTCTCTCAGCCACTTGAGAAAAGCCTCCTGGTTTATATGGCACGCACTTGTCTTGCGAAACTTTAAATTTTTCACATTTAAAGGACAAAGTGCAAATTTAACCAATTTTACAGTCGTAAATTCTAGCGAAACTCAAATTTTCCTTGAAGTTTGCAGGTTTTACTTGTATTTATAGAAAATATTTTAAAACGCAAAAATTTAAAAAAAAAAAAATTGAAATATTACGGTTCATTAAAAGAAATATATATGCGTGTCTATGATAACTTTTCTCAGTATAGATAAGTTCACGGACTAAATTTTTGGTTATAGGATGCACCGTAAGTGACTATTGAACTGAGATTCGCATCAACCAAATTTTAAAATGCATGAAGACCATGAAGTACACGACAGGTACATGATTGTAGAAATACAGAAAATACATCAACTTGCACGTGTCGTGGTCCCTTCGCGCGCCTTACCGTGAAAAAATAAGCTCCTCCTCCTGAACGGAAAGGTGGGCACAAGGGGGTGAGTTCAGGTATCACGTGGGAATCGACGCTCCCCTTTTCTTTTCAAACAAAAATAAAAATACAGCTGTTGCGCGCCTAAACACTTGCGATGGGGCCTGGGAAGCCTCTTTGCCGACTTTGCGAGCGGCCAGCGGCCGACGGCGGCTATTCGGCGGCCGAATTGGACAGGGAGAAGTTTGCCGAGTGGTGTTTGAATTACTTGGGCGAAACGCTGGCCGATGAGTTGGAAGACGAAGATCTAGTTTGCAACTTTTGCGTTTGGGATGTGAGGTATGTATTTAAAACGTACAAAATTAACATCATTTACACACTGAAATTTTAAAGGTAAAACAAAAAAACTTAAAAATACTTTTTGTTTTAGTTTTCTCCTACAAAACTCAAATGGATATTTGAATGAATTTTGTTGGTGGCCCAATGAAGCGTTGGAAGAGACTAATGATGATCATAGAAAGACAAGATTTGATCATTTCAGTAGTGAGCTTTTTCCTCCAGAAATATTGAAATAAATTTTAAATTACAAAATTTCTCATTATTCTTTTAGAGGGCAAAATGAAGCAGTGCTGGGTGCCCTTGGAAAAAATGGTAGAGAGCAATCAAGTTGAAGGACATCTAGCAGAAGAAGCTTCCGAGGAACTGGCTAAGTTGAAGTTGAAAAAATGCATTTACTGCAAAAATAGTTTTGCAAGAACTTCTGCTTTAGTTGGCCACATAACAAGTATTCATGGAAATATTGCAATCAGATGTAATTTTCAGAAAATGTGCGCTGAGTATTTTCTAACAATAGAGGACAGAGACATTCACATACAAAATTTTCACTCTAAAAGGAAGCAAAATCAAAAATTTTACAGGTGCATTTATTGTTCAGATACATATTTATGTAGATAAAATGTGCTATCTAGCCCATGTAAAAAAGATGCACGGTAGTGTGTTTTTTCAATGCAGAAATAGAACTTGCGGGATGTTTTTTGAATCTCGGACTGATTCGGAACAACATTTTGAATTAGTGCACAAGGTGCTTGAAGATGAGAAGAAATTTAATTGTCAAATGTGTAATTACCAAGCAGAGAGAAGGGCCAAAATGGTTTTTCATATGAGATATTGGCATTTAAAACCTGATAATCCAATCAAGTGTCCAAAATGTGGAAAATATTTTGATACTTTATTGAGATTACAATGTCATGATGAGCAGACTCACAAAAAATCTAATTGTAAGTGTTGCCCATATTGTGACAGGAAGTTAACTGCTCGGAAATTACGGGACCATTTAGCAAAAAAACTTTGCAATTCGTGTGGATCATTGTTTCTATGTACGAGTTTGCATAAAAAACATATTATCGTGTGTAAACCGTTGTTGCAATGTCGTTTTTGCTCAAAAATGTTTTCAAATGAAAACCACTTGAAATATCACATAAACTGGATTCATTTGAGTAAAACTTCAAGCAACTCATCAGCATCTTGGATTCAAGTGTAAAATTTGCTGTAAATACCTTTCCTCAACAGGTAGCTTGAAGAGACACACTTTGATACATTTAGACTCCAGACACAAATTTGGGTGCAGTCACTGCAGCAAAACATTTTATAATAAGGATAAGTTGGCTAGGCACCTGTCAAATGGTCACAACCTGATTGAGAAAAAGCACAAATGTACATATTGTGAAAAGAAATTTTACTACCCTAGTTTTCTGAAACGTCACTTTGCAATGCATTTGAAATCAATGGCTATCAAAAGTGCTGAGTTTGACCCGTTAAAAATATTATAAATATTCCCTTTTTCTCTCTCCAGGAACTCATGATTAGCATTCATGGTTTCAGAATTTGCGTTTAAGAGGAAAGTGTATCGTTAATTATAAGCTTAAAAAAATTGTCATTTTCATTTTGTGAATTACTATATGGTAAATACATATATATAATTCATATCAAATACAAACAATTATTTATCATTTTTAATTTCCGGAATAATATAGTCCTACAAAATATGAATGATTTCCATACAAACAAACCAGTATAGTTTAAGATTTAAAAATTTGCTTCATATTCTCACAAATTGAACATTGGAATTTAATCTCAACCTTTATCAATGCAACACTTAAGGTCTTTTTCAAAAAGAAGACTCGTAATAATTTGTCACCAAACTTTTGAATTAATGGATACGGATAAAAAGTTTCTGCAATTCTGGATTTCCTAATTTTTGAGCAAAAACATGGAGCATCAAGAAGAAGCGGAAATCGAAGAGCACTTTTGTCAAATTGTTTGTGCACTCAAGCCGACTAGGAACCATAAAGTGGTTCGTCCGTCCGACCTACCGACCGGAGTCCCTTCTTCTGCGGGGAGACGCATATTTGAATAGAGAACAGTGGGTTCTGTGCAGCCGACGTCATGTGTGTTTCAGTCGGAGAAAGAGCGGAGGGACAGCTAGACGGGGTTGTTTTAGGGCCACAAATGACGCTCGGGTACGTCGGACCATAAAATAAAATTCCTCTCGAGAAAGAAAGTATAAGAGAGGTGCTTTTGCGACTGCTGGCACGCGAATTCTATTATTGAGAGCAAAGGGAGGAAGAACATTTCGATTTTGTGCCCCCCAAGAAATAAGAAGAAAATAATGTCCCTTTTGTGCGCGAGAAAGTATTTAAAGGGAACTCTGTTGGCAATTTTGCCGCCAAATTGGAGAGACAGAGCCTGCGGTATATATTTTATACGCCTCTGAATATACGGACGGCCGTTTTTATTTCTACTTAGTTATTGCCGCTCTCTCTATCTTTGCGTCGGCAGTCGAGCGGAAGGCCCTGCTCTGGAATATTTTATCAAGTGTTTTCTCTCTCGCTCGCTCGCGTTTATTTTTCTCGCGCTCCTTTTGTTTGGCTGCGTATGCAAATAGCGGACGATATATAAAGTAGTGTGTGTGCGCCCTACCCACGCGAGAATTTTTCATTTTTCATTACATCTCATAGTCGCTTTGCGCTGTGAAAAATTGCCGCTCATTATCCTCTCCGGCGCCGGAGAATAAATTTTTGTCCGAAACTTTAAGCCAACTCTTTCTCTGGTATAAAAATTGTACGTTTTGTTGATAAATTGCCTTCATTATTATGTAATTTGGCACGACTAAGCTTGTAGCAAATGTTTTGTCAGTAGTGAATGAAAAAATGTCGATTTTGTGTATACAAAAGATATTTAGTTTTAGTTTTATCTTAAATATTGATTTCATAAATGAAGTGAAATCATTGTACATTTTTGTTTCATTTGAAACTCGCATTTAATTCCAATTTTAATTTTGCTAAAAAAATTATTAAAATATATATTTCATTTGAAAGTTTGATTATTTAGTTGCAACAAACTGTTTCTCTGTAGTAAAAACCTTGCGTGCAGTAATTATTGAAGAATTTTATGAAACTTAATGGATGATCAAAAATACTGAGTACACAGTTCAAATTGTTACAAAATTTCACGGAGAGGAATATAAAATTTCATTTTACTAATTGATTTTAGTATTCAAATTTCTATACTTAAAAATAAACGCTCATTCTTTTGCCTGTAGCCTGGAATTATAGTTACATACTTTTTCATTGCCTAATTTTAATTTTCATATTTTTCTAGTAAATTGTTTTTGCTGTCAATTTTATTCTGTGTTTCATTTTAGAACAACCAGCTATGTATTAAAATAAAATTCAAAGCAATATGACAAAAAAATTTTGATGAAATTGTAATCAACTGGAAAATGTTTCATAAAGCAAATCAGGAAAACTCCGAATTTTGGCAAATTAAAGTGAATTAGTTTTCAGAACAGCGAATATTAATCATAAAATTTTCCTGTTTCATTCCAGAGATTCCAAATTGAGTGCAGTAAAAAATTTTGAGGAAGTTTTCACGTGCAAATTATCTGTAGTAATTAGCATGAGATTCTGTGAACTTAACTTCAGGCGTTTGCGATTGGCCTGAGAACATGTTTGCGGACAAAACGCGGTCTGCAGAGGAATTCGCCGCAACCGCGGCTCGTTTGAAGACAAGCGCAGCTTGATGTCATTTTGCAGAGAGCCAAAGGGCGAAACAATTTGCGCAACTTGCTGGACGGGGCCTGAAATTCGGATGTATGGGTCGAACTGCAAAACGTCCGCAGCTCTTGACATTTCGCCAAATTTTAATGGAATACGAACGCGCGCATTTTGTAATAAGCCATGACGCAGTAGGTTTTTTTTGCAACGCGAGCAGCACAGCCGGCCGGAAAGTATTGGATTTTATACAAAAACTTTGCAAGCCGCGGAATAAAGCAGCCGCCGGCGACGGAAAAGTTTTAACTCAAAATGGCAGCAGCTTTCCCTCTTGAAAACTTTGCGTTATTTTGCACTTTCGGCTCTGTTTAAAAGATGTATCACTTAAAAGTTGCAAAATTATTTATTATTACAATCAAGCTAGGCTGCCAAGCAAACCTGCAACTTGTTGGGCTTTTTCTTTTGATGTTCACGAAGCAATTAACTCGCCACTCTAGTTTTAATTAACCTGTTGATGGCATATCTGTTATTTATTTTCTGTAAAAGAAATAATTCAATAACTTTACTTTTAACCATAAAAAAATTAAAATTCTTAAATTGAAAAAATTGATTTTCAGTCTGGTTTCTTAATATTGTTTTTATTTTAAATACATTTTTTAAACCTTTTATCGAATCATATTTGATTTCTTTTGTTGAGATTTCTTGATTTGCATAAATATAATTTTCTGAGGAATTTTGTTTTGTTGTAGCGCGGCTGCTCCTTTTCCAGCACATGCACTATGCAAATATCGTATCTACAACTCAAGCTTGCTTGCTTTGGCTCTTGTTTGCCGAGAAATCTCGCTCTTGGCAAACAGATTATTTCCCCAGGTAGAATTAATGAGTCCGCGACGCTCTTCGAGAGAAGAAACTAGACCCTCTGTGCTCCGACAGTGGCACGCCGCGTGCCCTGCATGCTAATGATGCAGACAAGTAGAGATGAGTTGCAAAATTTGAAATTGCGAATGCAAATATTGCGGTAACGAGGCACAGAGAAGAAGAAGATGGGGGCACCGTTGATACAGGGCACGTTGTTAGCATCGTTTTTTTTTTTAAATTAAATGATAAACATAACTCAGTTCTCAGTTTTTCAGAGTTTTTCAACTTTCATTTTACAGAGAAAAAAAGGGGTTTTATTAATTATTCGTAATCCCTATAATTTTACTTGATAAGAAAATAAATAAAATTATTCCAAAGTCATCAAATAATTTTGTTGTTAATTAATTACGACTGTGAATCGTTTAGATGGATTCAGGTGGATGAATTTTTTAATCGACGAAGCGAAAAAAGAAACTTCTATTTTCCTATAAAAACTCTTGCTTTTTAATTGAATTTCCCCTTTTTTATTGTGAAAGTTCGCGATGGCGGAAAAGTTTTTTAGTTTCTGCTTTTTATGGTAAACAGTGCCGGAAACTTTGCGGATCAAAGGCATCTGTTGCCAAAAAAATTCACCCGCAAAAGTTGCACAAAGGCCTAAAAGCAATAAAAGTAAAGCGTCGAAATGCAAATCGATTCGCACACCACAAAGGTCCGCGCGACACTTCACTTGAGCACAAAGAGACGGCAAATGGAATAAGGAAAAGCTTGATACTTTTTCTTCTGCCCGGCTGCGAAAAGGAAAAAAATCCTCGAGGGCAAAGTGAAAAATTTGGATCGCGCTTATTTGCCTCTGAAATGCAAAAATGGGGACGGAGTGCGTGTGACGTTGAGAGTAAATCAAATAACGTGCCACCGAAGAGGGATGAGCTCTCAAATTCAGGGTCGGATTGAGCCCATAAAGAGTTAATAATTTTTTTATTAAATTGAATTTCCTATTTTGAATCGAAAAATTTTAAAGCGCTAGCATAAAAATGAAAGAAGCAACTCCTATATTTTATAATATTTAATTTAAATTAAAATATCAACTCTATGAAATTCTATGAAGTTTTTTTAAAATTAAAATATTTCTGCTAGTTTGATTCTAATATATATTTGACTATATTTTATTAGAGGAAAGAATAAATAATAATTACATAATAGTTATAGAAATGGAAAGTTGGTTATTGTCCGTCCCTGGGCAGCAATCGCCAAAATATGCCGCCTGATCGGCTGGCTGCCAAGTTATTCCACTCACAATTCCACCAATTTCCAGTGATAAACGTGCAACTTTTCCCATTAATTTTTATCGTTGCTTTTTTATTGCTACAAAAATAGTGCGTGCACAGGGGTGACGCTATTTTTATTTCCAAAGCTCGTTTGTCTCGAAAAAGCTACGCCCGAAACAACTGCTGTTCTTTCTGCTAATTCAATCAGGAGCCACGCTAATGGAATGGGCCCAATCGATTGTTTATTAAACGAACCCAACGTAAATAAACATGCATCAGGCTCTCGGCGCAAAATAAGGACCACCGAGGGGATTGGTCCGTTGTTGTCGGCGCTGCCAGGACGGCTGTTGCTCTTTACAGCAAAAATCCATCGGTCAACACGGCCAAATATTTTAATCAAAAATAAACAACAATTGAATAAAAAAATAGAGATAAAGTAAAATGTGTGCAAAACTGATTTACATAAATTTTTTTTTGGAAAAAGCAAAAAAAAAACAGTTCAATGTAGAATTATTTTATTTTAACATAAGCTGGCATATATTTTATGCTTATAAATAATATATGCAAAAAAATCTTCCAACTCTTACCAATTTTTTTGTAAATTTGAAATATCGTCAGAAATTAATTCAACTCTCGATAAAAAATTTGAGACGATAACTAAATTGTTGCGGCACTATTTCAACAAAATGGTTTTTTGTAATGTTTTCCAATTAA